TTTCTTTCTTTCTCTCTCGCTCTCTCTCTCTGTCTCTCTCTCTCTGTCTTCACGAGCATGCGAGGGTTCGCTGTCTGTATCGTATTCACGATTCGGCGAAGAGCGCGTTGTCACACGTGCGACGCCGTTTCATCCTCGGCGAAGGACCGCGCGACGCACAACGGCGTGCAAGTTCATCGCGCTGGAATGAACGACGGAAGAATCCCGGCACTCGGCTACCTTCGAGTAGATTCGCGCCAAACGCTCGCTTCTCTCGTTCGCCTTCTTTCTCTCCTCCTCCCGAATTAATGCCGCCGTTGCTCGATCAACTGGCGAGACCGCGACCACTTTCGCGAGCACAACAACACAGCCGTCAACGTGTCAGCGAACTGCGTTCCAGCGCCACTGCTGCTGCAGCTGCTGGCTGCTCCTGATCCCTCAACTGCAACGTTCCCCTCCGGCGGAACGTGACGTCCTCGCCGTCGCTGTCCTCCCAACGTCGCACACTTTATGCGCGCCGCTCAGGTCCGTCGTCGGCGCACTGACAGGCACGACGGGAGCGGTTTCTCTCGCGTTTCTCGCGCGACGGGAGCACGTTTCGGGCACGTAAATAAGCGACGATATACGCACAAGCAACAGCACCGGTGCATGTGCACTCGACAGTGCAGCGTTCGAGGGCGTGCGCTGCGTCGGGCGGCGGGCAACGTGCGCGTCGTCCCGCTTCGCCGCCTCTTCCTTCCCTTCGGCGGCAGTCGGTTGTACACGAACGCGCGGACGTCCACCTCGCGTCGTAGGTTAGGAGGAACGACAACAATAACAATGGCAGGCCAACGCGATCATCACGAGACGATGATGACGACGGCAGTGACGACAACGCGCGCACGGTCTCTCCTGCTTCTCCTTTCCTGTTCGGCGTCCAGAAACCAGTAGGGGAGATCCTGCGATCGCGCGCCGAACGCGCCCGATGACTTCGAGATGTCGCGACGGCACTCTCTCACTCTCGCTTCGCTCCCTCCCTTGCTCCGTCACTCTCTTTTTCGCTCTGTCTTTCTCTCTCTCTTCCTCTCTCTCTCGCTCGTGTCTCTCTCTCTTTCTCTCTGTACGTCTCGGCACTCCTCGAATCCACCTGTCACGCGGTTTCGTCTAATTTCGCCCGCCACCGATCTCGGCGAACTCGGCGTCTCTCAGACGCACCGAGAAGGAAGCTGCTTGCCCGCGCACTTAATCCGAGACTCCTAACGGTCTTCGGGCGGTCTTAGAGCGAGGCTCGGACGAGCCACCGCCAATTTGCGCTCATTCCTCGCACGAGCGCGCGAATAATTCGCAAGACGACGGTCGTCGTCGGAAGCCACGAGTGACCGCCACGAGGTGCGCCCGTGCGAACGAGCGTACGGACTACGTGCACCTGTTTATCGCTCCGAATAACACGATTTACTGCGTGGTCCACGACGATTGACGTGTATACACACGGGTGCGCGCGCGTGTTTACATACGCATGCACGAATGCGCGCGCGTATGCACATACACACACGCGTGCACGGTAAAGGAGAGAGATAGGCAGACTGGACGAGCGGCGGATAGACGACCGGACACACAGGCACGAGAACGCGCCACACGCGCGAGCGGGCTATCGTGCGCGCACACGCACACGATCAAGAAAATTGAGAGAGAGAGAGAAGGGTGAAAGAGGGGCGATGGTGGCAGAAGGAAGAGAGGAGAGATTTACAGTGAGGCAAGGCGTGTTTCCCCCCCTCCTCTCTCTCTCTCTCTCTTTCTCTCTCTCTCTCTCGCTCTCTGACCGCCAGCAGCGCGTCCCGTCCGTTCCGTCCCGACTTTCGTGGAAAACGTGTTACGCCGCGGCGAAGGAAACGCGCGACAGACGGACAGCGGCGGTTGGCGGCTCACGCAGGTGGGCGGCTGGCCGAAATTCGCCCCTTATCGGTTCAGGTTCGGCAGTCGGCGGCCGCGCTCTTCTCGGTAAATAGGCTACTGCCAAGGGCAACGCGATTTTTTTTTCATGCGCAATAGCGGCGGCGGCAGCGGCGGCGGCAGCGGCGGCGGCGGCGGCGGTCGACGTCAAAACAACCGTGGCAGCGGCGGCGACATTCCAGGTCGATGCAGGAAAAACGCTCGACTTCCTCCCTTCGCACTCCGTTAGCTCACTCTCCGCTTCGTGAATGACTCCTATACTCTTCCTGCTTCTTCGCAGATGCTTCTTCCTCCTCTTTTTCCCGAACGGAAGAAAAACACCCGAGCACACAATTAATGACGCACCACTATCGTCACAAAGCGAGGCGGCCTCGCTCCCGACCTCGTTGAATTCGGGCACGCGGAAATAGTCGGCCGGAGATTATTATATCCATCCGCTCCGGTCGTCCTCCGCCTCTTCCTCGACAAACGTGTCCCTCTCGCGCGCGCGGCAACACTCGTTTACTCCTTACTTTACCAGAGATGCGTTTCCCCTACCGTCGTTCGCGAGCGCGCGCGACAAACACCGCGTCATTCACGCGATCGTGATCGCGATCGGGCGCGAGTCGACCGATCACGTCGCCGTCGTCGTCGCTCTCTCGCGGCCGCGATACGGCGCAACGTAACGTAACGTAACGTAACGCAATCCGGACTCGAGACTCGACACGCGCGTCAATTCGTATGCCCCACGAGTCGACGTGGGCCGTCGAAACGTGCGTTTCCAAGCGGAGAAAAAAAAACTGTAATAGCTCAAGCTACGACACACAGGCACACACTCGCTGCGACACCTCACTCGCGAGCTGCGCGCGGGTTCACGCCTAGCCAGCCGAACAGACGATCGTGTCTATCTTGTAAAGGTCATGTGTACGGTGAGCCTGCACTTGTAAACAAGATGTACGCAGGCGCGCGCTAATGGCGGCGGACTCGATATACGCGATACGCGATACGCGATTGTAAATACGAAAGTGCGCGCGTGCACGCCTTCCTTGTATGAGTGCGTCACCGCGACGTGTTTACGTGCACACGAGCGACGGCGGTACCGTGCAATGGCGTAACTATCGTGTCAATGGACGGACGCCGCAATGCGGAAGAACCTTGCGGATCTTCGAGGACCTCGAACGGCGATTGATGAACAGATTTATCCCGAGAAGACGCTGCTCGCGTCGCCGTCGTTGTCGTCGTCGTCGTCGCCGTTGTCAAGCGTGTAAATTCTAATTTTGCCGAGCGCAGGTTACGACGCGTCTTGAACGCGTGTCTCATGCGAGACGCGCATTTCACGTCGATAGGATCGACCACGTGCTCGAGGGAGGAAGCGCGGTCCACCGTGCGAATGAAAATTGAACGTCCGTCGACTCGCCGTATCGATATCGCACTCGTGTCTCAACGTGGACGCGCGCGCGTCGCAAATTGTGATGCATCGAACTCGGACGCGCAGTGTTTACTAACGTTAACCCCGATCGGTGTGCCATTCTCGGAGAAAACGGGCCGATGTGTTAGTGTGTCCGCGTAGCGTTGCGTGGCCGCACGGTTCTCTTAGGGTCAAGTATATCCGATTTTACGACGTACACAAACCAGAGACGGTCAGACCGAAAATACGCTCGAGCTCCGCGGAGACGCTACAAACACTAACGCATAATTTTCCGCGTGCAGAGTTTTTGTTTGTGTAGTGTTTATAAGAGTGTACGCATGTACGTAATCGATGTTTTTAAATCTTTTCAGGCGACAGAACGATTGAATCGCAGATGAATATAATTTTTTTTCGACGTTCAATTTATTGACATGACTCGGAGTTTATTCTGCTAAAAATAATTGAGATTGCAAACAAAATTCTGTCGTTTTGATAGAAATGTCACATAATAATAACTGAGGAATGTTATTATATACATTTGTTGCAGTTTGCTAAGATTGATTATTCTCCCAAATCTTACTATGATTACTTATAGTATATTATAAAATTGACTTTATTATTATTATATATTATAATATTGACAAAGAAAATATGTTTGATTCATCTTTGTTGCTCAACTTCTTCAGGCCTCCCTTCCTATTAAATATGATTACAAAATTGTTTTATATATTATTATTTTACATGTAATATCGAATAATATACTAATTATTATGTATAAATATATGGAAAACTATATAATTTAAAAAAAATTGTGTACGCCCTTTTCTTCTTTCAATATGCTTCATTGAATTATATATATAACATGTATTATTAATTAAAAAAACAAATTTTTTTTTTACAACTAATGGATTTTGCAAGGCAAATTATGAGAAACTATTTTGTTACTTTTTTATATTAATTTTGTTTTCACTAACATAAAATAATCTAGTTCATATATGTTATGAATAAAATTTGTTATAAGAAACAATTTTTCTTATTGTCTTTATATTTTTTAATATTTAAATTAAAAAATATTTGATTACAACATAAAAAGAAACTTTATAATACTTAAAGAATTAAAGCTTAATCTTGTAGAACAAGCCTTTTAATTAAGATTAGCATAACACAATAAAAAAATTAGTTAAACTTAAAATAGAAACAGCAATAAGGCAAAAGTTGTTTAAACATAAAAAAAACTGTAGTTAATATTACAATAATTTGTAAAAGAAATTATTACATAAAATACATTAAAAATAATTAAAACTAATCAGCACATGAAAGCTGCTTTTGAATTAACATGCAAGTTTAGAACCTCTTTCTGTAACATAAATACTTGTGATAAAATGAAATAAATGTTTTTTAACATAAAATTGCGTGTGAAAATTTATTTTGATATGGCGAATATTATTTTGGCATTCATTTAACGCAAAGAATGCAAGAGTACTTGTATAAAAATATAAGGTCATATTTTCATGTATTGAAGTATATGTGCAATTATTCAAAAACTTGAAAATTGCATTAAAGATGTAACATTCATTTGTATTATAAAATAATCACAATAATTGACAATAACATTATTGTGTACATGGATTAAAACCAGTATTTCACTTTCAAGTTTTATTGCCGAAAGCATACAAAATTTATTTTTGTATTATTCACGGCAACAAAAAGACATAACTTTTTGGCACATGTACAATATTGGAAATAAAATATATCGGAATTATACTGGTATTAATCTTCGCTATGCATTAAACTTTTAATATTTATTTCATCTGTCTTCCTGTGTAACTTAATTCTGAGTTAAAAAAAAATAAATAACCTCTTTTCAATATTCTTGTACCATCATTCCTTATGATTAAGTCTTTATTTTAATATTGCTACATTTTGTCAAAATATATATTTGGTGAGGTTTTAACAAAAAAAAACTAGAAAAATAAAACAAAGAAATAAGTTTTTCAAATTCTCGTTAGCATTGCATAATTTGAAGGAAAAAAAACTAAGATAAATATTTTATATTTTTTAACAATATTAGTCTCTGCATACAAATATAACAGCTATGATTGTCTGATATTGAAATCACGTCTGAAAAGCTAACTTGCATTGATATTCACTCGAGCTAAATGCAAAATTACTTCTAAGTTAATACAAATGCAAGTATTATCTTGTAGCATTGATTGCACACGAAAAAAAAGCATCTTTTATTAACGTTATATTCCAAGTACATTGTTAAAATTTTTACTTGATGATTTTCCACGAGTTTGATAATCAACTCTAATTATCAAACTCGTGGAAAATCATCAAGTAAAAATTTAACAATGTACTTGGAATATAACGTTAATAAAAGATGCTTTTTTCGTGTGCAATCAATGCTACAAGATAATACTTGCATTTGTATTAACTCAGAAGTAATTTTGCATTTAGCTCGAATGAATATCAATGCAAGTTAGCTTTTCAGACGTGATTTCAATATCAGACAGTCTTCATAGCTGTTATATTTGTATGCAGAGACTAATATTGCTAAAAAATATAAAATATTTATCTTAGTTTCTCACCTTATGTAAAGAAATGAAAGTGAAAATAAAGTTAAATATTAATCGAAGGAACATTTATAGATAATACAAAATGTCTGAGAGGGACTGATGTGGTTCAGCTTGAATATTTTGGCCGACTAGATACACAAGCTTGTGTGCGTATTGGCAAGGAGCGGGCACGCGAATCGTACCGGCCCAATTGTAATACAAATGACAAAGTTTATATGTGAGTCGCTGCATGTGGTCAGTCTCCATGTTGGACGTGTCATGAACAACGATATAATGAGTAGGAGTTACTGTACCCTGTCGTACGTTTTGCGGCACAAGGAAGAAGTCGTAATAGTTCCGTCTCGTTATGCAAGAATCAACGACAGTTCCTGGCGCAGGATTTCCCAAACCATTCCTCTACAAATTAAAAATCATCATAATCATAATTAAAATATCAATTATCAATTGTTGAAATATATTAATTGCAGAACTTTTCATCAATGCAACAGGTTTTATATATCAATTGTAACGCAAACACTCACATCTTTGATGAAAATTCGAGTATTGATACGCTTTTGAACCACAATTACGCTGAGTTGCGGTTTATAGTTTTGCGCAATGCGGTTGAACGTCGCCATGAATTGTTTTATTTCATAATTTTGAACGTAACTTATATCGCCATCGCCAACTCCATCTCGAAATATGATTACACGCTCGGGATAATATCCATTATGCTGTCATTTTTAGGAAACAATAAAAAAGAACTTTATAATTTTAGCATTTAAGAGACGCATGATGTATTAATTACCCGTTGAAATGCTTCAATGGCTGAAATAAAGCAAACTTGTAGCATATCCACCAACTCCTGCTTAGATGACTGCATACAAATTTTACTATGCCATTTGGTCAGTTGAGCATCCAAACTTGAGACAAATCCGGCAACACTTTTCCCACTTCCGAACCCAGCATGGTAAACGTCTATACCACACACCATACAATTTTTCTGTTGAACATTATAAGTATTTATTGAACAGAAAAATAAACACATAAAAATTTTACAATAAAGCAAAAATTTGTATACCAAAGGTATATTCACTGTCCAAAGTGCTCCTCCTAGTTTGCAATTGATTTGAAGCGCTATCTTTTCCGTGACACTTTTTAATTTGGGCGCTTTGGCAATTGTTTTCGAGATGATGACTTGCGATGGAATAGCCTTTTGTACACAGCATAATCTATAGAAATATAACAGAACAACAAAACATAACTCTGGGGGTTTTTTACTGTTTTAAATTATGTATAAACGCGTAAAATTTTCTATGTACAAAAAATATCAAATTCTTATTCCATAATATAAAATATTTGTACGATATACAAAAATCAACTTACTTCTTTATAGCAGAATACCGATCGGTGCGATTGGTTGGAAACACGATGACTATTAACTCGACGCGGTTAGTAACGTTATTCTGAATTTCTCGCAAGTAAGTCTCGGTTCTGTCATCCCTGAGCATAATCTTTTGTGGCGTATCGACTCGCATACCAATCGCTCCTACAATCTTTTCCAGCATTAATAAGAAATCTTTTACATAAATGTCATCCTTTGAACAATACACGATTTGCCAATTGCTCAAATTGGGCTGAAACACAGAGTGCAACAAATATTTTTCCAAAATTATCTCAGTTTCAATTCCTCAGTTGATTATTCGTTATACTTACAGTACGCAACACGGGACTTCTTACTGCAGCAGAACTCCAATCTGCAGGCCTGTCATGTGATTTATATGTTTTATTACGCCCGAAACGTATCTCTTCAGGTTCAAGACGTCTCGCGGTAAACTGGACTATGTCAGTGCTTAATTCCAAGCCCCATTCCGATAATAATTCTCGTGTCACTTTATTGCTTTGTACTTGTGTTATAAACCGCTTGATCGTATCACGGCGCTGATTGGGTGACATTTTCGTAACTTCACTTAAATCTTTCATAATAGTGTGATTGGAGCGTATGCCGTCCGTAAGGCCAGCGCAGTAGCTCAATTCCGGAACCAGAAGAATTATTCTTTCCTGCTTCTATAATATTCGAAGGATTTTTTGACAATGTAACAAATTTGTCACGTAACGCGTTCGTATCAACAATAATACGGTATAAAATGTCAAACCACACGAACCTCACCAGTTGTCGTTCTAATTGTAGCACGATGTATCAAAAGAGGTTGTTTTGTGTCACTGATCTCAATATGCCAGTGGTGCTTGTAGTAATCAATTAAAGATATTTGTTCGTCATTCCTGGTAAATACATATTCTGGTGTTTTATCCCAGGCAATGTCATCTATTCGGTACGTCTTGTTATTGTAACGTGTCAATACACTTGTGCCAACTATCTCTTTTACTACAATATCTTTAAAATTATTCCGTGATCGACGAGCAGTCTCAGTTCTACAAAGTAATTATGTGGGGTTAGAATCTAGTCGACTACATTTAATTATAATGCGACTTGATATTTGAAAGAAATTATATAAGACCATCTTACATTAAATCTCGTATTGTGTCCGTTCGCATTACGCGATGTTTGGCGTCTAAGCAAAGTTTTAAGCCACCCTCGTATTCATTTACGGCGGTCACGTAACCAGGCCATACTTCTAATCGATGTTGATTCATGATATGCGCGCCTCTCGGATTAAAATTTTGTCGACCAATACGCACTAACTCAAGTGCACGCATGACGCGATTGAACAGAACATTGAAAAATTGAACATTTTCACTCATTGATTGTTCCTTCTTATAAATGATCGTGAGAGTTACTTCCGATCCATCCATTGGATGTTCAGATTTATAATGCGTAATCTGAAAATTTGACACACATTGCACAATATAACATATGTTGCATTAATAGTATCTTTATCACAAGCTTGAACTTACATTCTGTGGCAGCTTTATTGGTAAAAAAAGTATCATCCCATCAAAAGTTTTTGTTCTTCCTAAACTAACGGAATGTTGGTTGAGCAACTTGCGACGTAATCCTCTTGAATCTATATCTGGTGTAAACTTAACTTCATATTCGAATAGACCTTTGCCGGATTCTATTTTCATATCTATATAATTGGAGAACGTTTCTACTCTGAAAAGGAAAATCTTTATATTGAATGTTGCTACTATCAAATTGTAATAATCTCTCGAGTTAGCACGCGAGTTATTCGACACGGTTTTATTTTTACAAATATTGAAATTTTTTTTACAAATACTTTAAGCATAATCTCATTTTTAAGATTTTATTCTAAAATTATAAATTATAACTTACTTTGTTCCACTTTTGCCTTGGCGACTTATCAGTGTGGTATCTTCGGAAGACTGTACGTCGAGTGCAGGATTATTGTATACCGAAATATCAGCCAATTTTCCTAAAAGTTCTTCAGGATCTTCCTTTCGAACACTTGAGCCATTTGGTTCACTAAAAATAAGAATCTCTTGTTGTAAGCGAGCATTCATATATACATTCTAGATATTACAAAATTTGCCACACTAACCCCATTCTTTTTGCTAAATTTAAGAGAGCACCGCGACCAGCACCTACCGATGAAGAATCTGTAGATTCTGATCGGCTGGTGCTGCTCATCGATCTCAGTAGATCTAATGAAATACGCCCACGTCCTGCACTTGAGCCAAATGAGCTTTGTAGATGCGATGAGGAATGTTCCTCGGATGTTCTGGTCTGATCAGCCGACGAAACGCTAGGCGTTTCTAAGGAATGAGACAATCCTTCATGTCGACGTTGTGTTTGTTTCATCATCTCCAATAGGAAAGAACCCCGTCCTTTTGGGGCAGGTTTATTATCTTTATCCATTTTTTAAGTAGTTCCTGCACTCTCTAAATAGACAAAACAATATTTATTAGAAGATATGTATTAAGTATGCAAAAGAAAAGAATTTTTAGATGATAAAATAGATTATAAAAGATGACATATAAATTTTAGAAATTAGTCTATAAGTCAATGGATAAAATAGTGTGTAAAGAATGATTTGTAAGGAGATGAGTTTGTAATCCTGAAGAGATGCAATAATGAATTGGTGGTTGGGAAAAATCGTTATATGTTACATTTTATAAATTTTATTGGAAATTATGAATACTACGTGCATGTTCATATTTAAGAGTTATTTATAGTATCTTACTTTGCATACAATATTTCTCCATTTCCTATCTGCTATCAACTATATCTCAGATGTAACATTTGTAACATTCAATGTCCTTTCAAGAAAAATAAAAATAAAATTCAAACTGTGAAACACTAACATCGTATTTTGAGCAAAATAAGAGTTAAATAAATACATGATTACTTTTGTATAATCATATTCAATGTTTTTTTCCTAAAAAATTTGTTTTTAAATTTGTTACATACAATGTTTTTCCAAACACCTATTATCTATATGTATTAATCATTGTTTTATTATTTTATCACCTATATTTGCAATATGCTTAATTATACAACAATCATTGGTATAACTAAGTACTGTACAAATTTTTGAAATTTTTTAAGTAAAAATATATTATTTCCCGGCTTAGTCACTCGCGCCCTGATATTTTTTCTCTCTTCCTTTCTTTCTAATAATTCCTATCAGTACATACTGATTCTCCATATGTGAGAACAATGTACTAAAATTTTCGTACACTTTAAGTATCTCGAACCAGAGATCGGTGTACAAAGTTAACTGTCTCACGTAGATTAATAAATTAATTTCTTTAAGAAAAATTAGAATTTTGCACTAACATCCCGCGACGGCTCTCTCAATGCCTTTCTATTATATTATTTAAAAATATATTAGATTGAAAAAAAAATGTATCATTAACAGATATTAATTTTAAGATATCTCGTTAAAAAACAGAAAGTAAATTGTGCTTGCAAATTTTAGTTTGAAGTACTTACATTCAATCTTATAGAAAAAAACTTGTTAATATGTTTTTTTATTTTACATATGTAGGTATAAATTATATATTTACACAATGCTGTGTGTATATATATATATATATATACATGCATGCGTGCATCTTTTTAACGAGAACACTTAGTATTAGTGAAAAAATCAACATTTTTATTATTTACATTATATTAAAGTTTGCTTTTCAAGGCGACTATTTTCAGCATTGATTAACTTTAACCGACAATTCAAACTTGTCGACAGAATTGCTATCATGAAGAATGAAATATCGTCATTTTTAAATTAAAAAAAATGTTTCTCCTTTGATATCGAGTTTCATTCTTTTCATATTCAATATTCATTTCATTCAAAGTTAATCGACGCTGAAGTCTTCCGAAGAATGTATCGAAAAACCCAAGCTTACTATATATACCAAAGCAATGAACAAAGCGTTCTAGTAATATATTTCTTTATATTCTTTTATTTATTTCATAACAGACTTAAAAAAGGACCACTAAACTTTTTTTAATCTTTAATGTAAACTTATGGAAGTAAGCAATCGTCCAAAAATGGAAACCAAAAATAAGCAATCGTCATAGAAATTCTTGAAATCGATTGTTATATGAAGTATCTATTAGTCGAAAAAAAAAAAAACAAATGGAATTTCTGTCTGAAATAAAAACCCATCTAATCGAATATGGTGGATCATTAACCTCATTCCATGTCGGTTTACAGAAGCGTGTGATCCTTCTATACGAACAGTACATGCAAAATCAATGAAACTATTAAAAACATTGTAACTTACTTTAATGCTCTGTATTCAGTAGCTTTTTGAGGAATTCCTCGATATCTGACGTTTTCTGTCGAAGATACCGCACTCTCGGTCGCGTTTCCCTTAGATGTTATCCTTCCGAGAGCACAAAATACACAGAAATTCGTACTCGACTAAAGGCGATTACACATAGAAAAGTTTTAGTCGTAATCATAAGGCATAAGCAGATCGACCAATCACAGTGAGTCACTCGCATTGCTGCTCACTGTAATTGGTCGATTTGCTTACGCCTTACGGTTGCGACAAACTTTTTTTACGTGTAATGGCCTTAAGGATCACAGTACGATTTAAAGCATGAAATAAAAATTCAAAGTACAGCGTCCAAAATTTATTAGGTCCATTCTACAAATAATCGTAAATGCCCCGTCGTCATTCGCGAAGAATGGCAACTACTAATTAAAAAGTGCTATTTCTGATTATTTCTGGTAAAACGGGACATTCTCGACTGGCGACGGGACATTTGCATTGAGCATTTGCGACGCATTGTAGAATGGCCCTTAGCATTTTCGACGGAACGAATTTTTCTTCGCGAATGACGACGAGGCATTTGCGATTACTTGTAGAATGGACCTAATAAATTTCGGACGCTGTACTTTGAATTTTTATTTTATGTTTTAAACGAATTTTGATCGACCGAAGATTGGATTAATGATATCATTGCATCGTCTCCATCAATAAAATATTTGAATTCATAGTAAAATAGTGATCTATGACAATTGCCTAAATACTAAACTTATAAAAAATGATATCATTGAGAAATATTGTAGAATAAAAATTAAAAGTAAAAAATATTCAAATGATAGATTAAACTCTAATTCAGATCAAAGATATAAAAACAGATAACATTCCTATTGCTAATAAAGAAACAAGATTGTTTATAATTTAGGTACATATGCATATATGTACATTTTGTAGACTCAAGAAAATCTATAAAATATAATTTATTTAAATTATTTATTAAAAGTTGATTAGACAATCACAATATTACAGATTTTGTTATTTTTATTAGCTTCGCACAATATTGGTTTCTCTTGCTTAATATTAATATAAATGATTTGGTAAAGCCTTATTTATCAAAACAAAATGAAATAAATAACGAGTTTATTATATTAGAAATGTAAATGTTACTTTCTTTTATTCTATAGATTATTTATATTTAAAATGCGGAAGACATTGTAACATAGTAATGTATTAAAAATTGTGCTAAAAAATATATATATATTTGCAAAAAAAATAGCTTTAATGCTGTTAATAGTCGATAATCATATCTTTTTTTTTTCTTCGAACAAAAATTATTTATTCTATACGTTTTGAATACAATAACATATATATTTTGCAATAAAACATAAAAACTTTTTTGAAAATAGTTATATTATTTGTAACTAAAATTCTATTTTACAGCACTGTACGGAAGTCAGCAAAAACAATTTCAAGTATGATAAGCTGAAATAGGCCTTTATAAAAGCATAATTTAGATTTTCTCACAAAATGTATTGTATATTATAGCATTTTTTAATGACAAATTAGTTCCATAAATCATTGACAAAGATTTCTGTTATGATCAGATTCGTAGAAAAAAAAATTGCATACAAAATATTTTTCAAGTGGTTAGAAAAAGAATTGATTTGTAAAGAGTTATATAAAAGCTGCTAAAAACACTTCTTAATTGGTGATTCCAATAATCACTTGTTAATTGGTGATAATAATGAACATCATCTTGTTAATATATTACATTAGTATTGCTGTAATATGTGCTGTAATTAAAAAATAATTATAAATTTGTATGGAAAGATGCTCATAATTTTTCTTTATATAAATAAGAATGCAGAAATAATTATATTAAATGATTATAATTGCGAAATATATATATTTATATATAAAACTATATATTTAATCTATAAGATGTAAAAGTATTATAAAAGCAATCAATGACTGTTCTTCAATTAGTATGCTTAATGATTCTTTGTAACTTGGTAATAAGATATTTTAATTTAGAAATTGTTAGAAAAGAGAAATTAAACACAAATTTGAGAATTTTCCATATAAACTATAATAAATAGATGATATAGATCTATAAATGGTCTTATTTATAAATGGATCAATAGATATATATCTTTAAAGAAGAAGTAATAAAACTTTTCCTTTTCGATTGGTAAAGATTAGATACTTAAACATCATGTTGGCAGACACATAAGTTTGTTTAACTCTGTGTTTGTAATGTTTAACACTTAATATTTTTCTTTCATCACTATATGTAATACAAAGCGTTTGAAAAATGATATCAAATATTTTTTCTATTTATTCCTCTCATTAAAAATATATATGAAAAATTTATATATAAATATTTCAATTTATTACATTACTTATTGTTTTATCTTTGGTAAAATCTGAAAAACAGATGTTTTACAGCTAAAGAATTATTTCAAAAACTCTCAAGAACGCATCAAGCTATTAATATAATTTTCTACTGAAATGCTCTATTATCTATTGTTCAAAATTTTTGCAACATGTATATATAACCATCTTTTCTGATCGATTTAATGAGAGGATTAAGTTCGGAGACTATTTGACATCAACTCTTTGAACTTTACAAATTGTTTGTAAAGTCCTAAAATTATACTGAATAATACCTGAGGTATTTACCTTTATAATCTCAAAATGTATTTATCTAACAAAAACAAAAAAACGTTTACAATAATAGTTTGAAATTTTTCTTTGCTCGAATTTTAAACTCAACTCATACAAGAGACAACAGGTATGGTCGTTTCTTTAAGTTATTTATCTATGTTTCTCATGTAAAATCTATGGTTTGAAAATGTGAAATAATGAAATATTATATCTTATTATATGTGTCACTTCAATTCACAATGATTTGGAATGATTTTGGAAATATACCACCAAGGGTTAGGTCGCATTTCATCCGTGTTTGTTGAATATGTACATTAAACAAACTAATATCTTTAATCAGCCTTACGTGGCTTGCGCTTGCGAACATTGGGACTACTAGGATCAGCTTTTGTATCTTTATCTTTTTCACTCGCTTCAAGTTCCTTTGCCTCAGATTCCTTTGCTTCAGATTCCTTTGCTTCAGATTCCTTTGCTTCAGATTCCTTTGCTTCAGGTTCCTCTACTTCAGACTCCTCTTCATCCACTAAGTCGTCGCCAACGTTTTCCGCAATTTCATCCTCGTCTGAATTTCTCTCTTGTGTAGAATCAGATGTACCATCTTTTTTTTTGCCTTGCTGTTGTATCGGTTTTGGTGGATAAATAACATCGATCAAGCATACGATAACCTGTGTAAAACAATATAACTAAAAATAATAATTTTGTATTTATTATCTATATAAATTTTATCATATACAATATGTATCACTTACCAATCCCAATATTGCACCCAAAATAATCGTCATAAGAGCAAAAATCAAATAACTACCCCAAGTAGGTAATCCAAAATCCTCTAAAAGTTTGTTGTGAATAACCTAGAATTAAAAAAACGATATAGAAATTTTCCTCTGCTACTGATAATTTTACAGCTGCGAGAATTAAAGCAAGCAATATCAATTTTACAATAAATGTTTTATAATGTACATATATACTCACTCGTAATACTTGAGACAATTTAAAGAATTGACTTAAAATTGACATGTGGTATGAAGTTGGACTTTTCCAACTAGGAATTGGGTCTACTTTTGTCCATGTCTTTTTGGATACAAATTCAATTAACGAGGCTTTATCCCTTGGACTTTTATATTGCCTGAACACCCCATCATTTACACTAAAAATTACAAAAATATCTTAAGATATGTTTGGCAAAAAATATAGGATGCGATATGGATTATAAATAACTTACTGAAATATTGTAGGTAAAGCTGTAACCATAAATCTGCCACTAAGGCCGGGAGAATCTGTTACATCTATCTTTCCAACATTAATATTAAGATCCTTTTTCGACAATGCAAGATGTTCCCAAATAGGTTCAAGTGCTTTACATGCAGGACACCATGGAGCATAACTAATAAATATATAATTTGTGAGAAAATTTAACATGTTATTATATATACATGTAACAAAATAATGTACGAGAAAATGTAATATAAATATAAATAAATCTTTTTTGCAGTATTATTAATTATGAGTATGGATATATCACATCTCAAACAAATTTAATTATATAATTTTGTATTTTCCATTTCATAAGAATTTTATGTTCATTAATAGTAGCTAAATTTGAATATTGTTTTTGACACGCCATCAAGTATGACGATATCGACTCGTTCGTGGCCGAACTTACAATTCAACCATCCATTCTCCCTTGAGCATAAGTTCCCAATTGTCCTCGTTAAGTTGTTCCACGAAGCTGCTCTTCGTTTGCTGCTGTGCGTTCGCACTTGTATAAGCAAGCAACAACGCGATGTAGATACAAAGTATAGGATTCATCCTGGCGAACGACATTTTAATCTCTTCAATAACTTTAACCACTCACCGGCACCGCGCACGACGCACGACGCCGACAAACGTAATCATGGGAGTTGTGTCGTCGACAATCATAGACCATGAATACAATTAGAATGGAAACAACTGTAAGATTTGTTAAACTAACAGGTAAACTTACTAGCTCACATATGTGTAAAATCATCCAATCACATCTAATATAAAGGTCAAATAATATAGTACTTTTTTATATTTAACATCTGATTGATGCATTTCTCACCATGAAATTATGCAAATTGACTGAATGTTTCTCACAAGCAGAGAGATCACAAGTTATATCAATCTAGTTATTTTTTACATTTATAATGGTAACTGTGGTAACTAGATTGCAATCTACACAAGTGTCCAAAGTGTCCGAGTAAATATTGCTGGTATTTCAAATATTTTATTTATACACATTTTTCTCAATTGGCAGGTGTTTGACATGACATTTCTTGAAAAGAAATCGAAGTAAACGTATGTGCAAATTAAAATTAAACCTCAAAGATTTATATTTATCGTCAGAAGAATTATACTTGAATATACTTGTAATTCTATAAAACTTTTGCAATTTTTTAGTTTAATTTGTTGTTATTTTCAAGATTTTTCAATTTTTGTAGGTGTAGCAACATGTCAGCGGTATATCCAACTTTACCAAAATTGGCAGTGAGAGACAGCATGGATGATGATGATCTTACCGACATTGATGATGAGGTATTCATTAGGGATGGGAAAAACGGTGGATTAAAGTTAGATGACGATGGCGGAGTCAAACGACCTTTAATGGCACCACGCAGAAAATGCAAAAAGTCTTGTAACTTCCAGACCCATAAATTCCCATATAAAGCACTTTTCCTGCCATTGTGCTATGGGATGATAGTAATTTTAATATTAGGTTTAATCGTACTTTGTACATTCACCGCAAATACATTCCCAATGCCATTAACTATATTGAAAAATTGGTTGTCACATGAGCTAAAGGATTCTGTAAACAAATCAGAGATAATTCCATGTACATCGCTCTCGTCAAAAGTTTTGTGGACCAGATCATTGCCAAAATTAACTTCTGAGGCTCCTCTTAGAAGCAATGATGTCAACTCTGATGGAATTGAAGATATTATTGTGGGATTTAGCACAGGTACAAAACCAAAACGTTTATTCTATCAATAGATGTCTTTTGTTATTATTATTGTTATTTTAATATTTTTTTGCTTTTTTAGTTGATTTAAAATTTCTTGCTATTGTATATTAAGTTGCATTGTGATATGTGATTTGTTTACTTTTATTTTGCTTGCCTTTTTACAGATTTTGGTTTCACAGTTACATGATGTTTCTTACAATGTCTAAGGTGAATAATTAATTTTATTTTGTGATAAAATTAATTAATTAATTGATAAAACAGTTGTTAATTTATAAATTTAGGTTTGGATACAATGGATGCTCCAGAATACATTTGTACTATATATTTTGAGAGACAAATGCCGTGTTTAGGCGGTGTACTGGCATTGAATGGCAAAACGGGCGAAACTATTTGGACACATTGGACTGCTCATGCGATATTTTCCGTTGACTGTGGCGTAGACTTGACAGACGACAAGATTAAAGATTGTGTTATATCTGGACGCGGTGGGATACTACAAGCCATTAATGGTCATGATGGTTCCCTCATATGGGAAATTCCCATTCAAGATCCCGCGATGTTGTCAGAGCAGCAAAGGATTGTAGATGTCTACGATGCGAGATTTATAGCGGACGCGGACGGCGATGGTATTGGCGACGTAATAGCCTCACACGCCATGCAGTCGGACGACACCCGGGCGAGCAATGTACTCGTAATATCAGGGAAAAGTGGAAAAACTATACGCGATGTTAATTTACCAAATACAGAACTGCTGTTCGTAGCGCCACAAATTCTGGTGCATCCTGACGGAGAAAACATATTTGTTCTAGCTACAAGTAGTCAGGAAGAGGCTGGTGGATTATACATAGTGTCCCAAGCTAATATATTTTACGGTGATTTAGGCGATTTGGTATGTATAACAGTATAGCGTAAAATCTGTATGAAATTTAATCGTAGAAAAATGATTTTATTCATTAATTTCTTTTTATTGTAGAAATTACGAAAGCTTCATCATAATACAGGAAAAGGTGCGCTGTTACCGCCGATTTTGATCGATATTACGTCGGACGGAATCGAAGATATTGTCGCGGCCATGTTTAATTCTACGATTATGGCGTACAATGGATCAACGTTTGAGCCTATCTGGAATTACACGTTCCCCAATTCGGAAATAATTAGCATTCCAATTCCTGGCTATTACAACGACGACGATATACCGGACTTCATGGTGAAGCATCAGATAGGTAGTGGTTTTCTTACATATTATTATACCGTAGCCACAGTAATAGACGGCCGTAACGGACAGCCTTTGCTCGAGAAACGGATGGAGGACGGTTTAAGTAGACAAATGTCCGGATTATCGATTACCGTGGACGGATTTGGTAACGATTGGTTTTTGCATTGGTCCGCCGACTGTTTAAATTACGAGGGGGTCAAGGAGAAATATCAGTTCTTGAAAGGTCAAAGTCTCGTGTCGCAAACCCGCGCGGATCTCTGTCGATTGAGATTCAATTCGACGCTCGCTACCAAGCTGCTGGCTTTGAGCCAGCACGTTGGCCCACCGGGGATACCGCTGTATTTCTCAGAGGACTGGAAGTTTTTGGAGTTCAACAATTCCATCGATCCACGGAAAGAAGCGGAGAAGTATTTGGACGCCCATCCTCAATTCGAGATCATGGACTCTTACGCAGACTTGCCGCTCGTTTCCGAGAGATCGCCGAAGATGCACAAAAACCATCGGAAGGATAGTATCTTCAAGCATAAGGATAATTTACTCGCAGAAATTGGCAAGTACGACTCGGATGCGGTATACGAAAACTTTAATGAATTCAAGAGCCACAAAAAGCATAATCCCGTTCAGGACGACGTCGCAGAAAATCTGGATTTGGAGCAAGCGTGGAAGCACGACAATGAATGGACGGGAGATAATTTACCATCAGATAAAGAGTATGACGGCTTATACGGAGGTGTTGATGGTAACAACGAAGACTCGGAACAAAATGCAGATTACTCGCAAACCGAAATGCGAGAGCAGAGGAGCGTCACTGCTGGAGTTGAAAGTTCGGTAAATATTTCTCACGGAGAACATGACTCCAAAGAAATAAGCGATTACTTAATATTGTCCGAGTCGACGCAACGTAATACGCGATTGAATAACGAGGATATTGAGAAGAAGGGAATGGAAGAATTCAGCAACAAAGAAAACGACTTAATAAACAAAACTGATACGATGAATGTATCAATGATGTTAATTCCAAAACTTCAAGAAGAGACATCGTCAACTGTATCGAACGACGAATTGAGTATCAATGAAACTACTACAATACAAAGCTCATTAAATGCATCGGTCACCACAAGCGAATCGATCGGAACGAATGCAAATCTCAGCTCTGAAATGCCGGAAAGCGCACACACTGAAACGTCAAGTGTTACGAAAGGCCAAATAATTACCGGTCATCCAGCTATAACTGTCACTACTGCTAAAACTGCAGATGTGACGCAGCGAAAACAGATTTATAAGCATAGTTTCCCCAATATTGTGCAAGATGCAGACGATGATGCTAGTATAGAAAAAGTGTTCAAACGGGAGTCGCTAAAAAATCAAAATAACGGCAAAATTTATAAGAAGCAATCGCTGATATTCTCATCGATAGCGAATAAAGAATATAAAATTCGACAAAAGCGGAGAACGAAACTGAAGTCTGAAAGTGATGGTGGTAATCAATCGAACGGTGTCAACGGTATTCAGAGACAGCCACCAACTGGAATTCTCTTACCGTCTATCGACGAATCTAAAGGCAAGACTTCGATAGACTTAGTGTTTTCTACATTCTGGCTACCAGCGTCCGAGGTGTCTCTGATCTTGTCTCAAGTAGATTTGGAATGTATTCATAGGAAGAAAGCATTGTCGAGTAAGCTGCAGTACAAAAAGGACGATGACATAATCAGCGAATGCTTATCCGAGCGGGGCGTTAATTATAGATTATATCAGGAATCAATGGATAGGGAAAATACGAAAATTGCACTCGGTCAAATGACAATATACCGAATAAAGCTGGAGTGCGTATGTCCGGAGGACATGTTACCTAATCAAACTTGTAGAAATATCTCATCACATCAAAGCTGGCCCGAGCATCTAGGTACTTCTGGAAATGGCTACTTTAAGCCGTTACGCGCGTAAATGAAATATTTGAAGAGATTAGATCGTGTCAAGCTACATGAATTATTGAGAAAATTCACTATAACACTCTTACGGAGTCATTAATGATTAATGGAATTAAAGAATAACTTTATGCATTGTTTGTAAAAGTATACAGTAACAATCATAATTATAATCAATTGTTATACAAATGTAATTTATATTAATATTTACATGCATATTTCTTCGTGGAATAGATAGATATGTATGTATTTGTACATATAAAAATATTGCTGTTTATAGTCCTCGCAACTAAAATTTCTTTGGTTTTTTTCTAAGAAACAAGTACAATATTTGTCTGCGCAATTTTCTTAAATTTACATCTCTATTAAGGAAATTAATTACATATCGTCTAATCGTATTTGCCGATAATTAAATATTTTTTAGGATGGAATTATAAATAAAAAGGAAATTGTGTGCCAAAGTCGATTTCGATCATTTTTTTTTTTTTACGATATGTAAAAATATATGTTTTAAAGTAATTTACTTTTGCATAAAAATTGTTAATACAATTTGCAACGTTAAAAATATATATTATATTAGTAAAAGGTTAAATATGATTACGATATCCATACGAATATAAATATAATGATAATCAAAGTTTATGTAACTGTATAGAGATCGATGCCGATGTTAATTGTATTAGCAGATACGAATAATCTGTATGATTAACGAGAAATCTTTTGGTGCTACCAATTTATGTGCGTTATGTGCATTTTCTATAATTTATGAAAAAAATTAATATGTATTATCAATAATTAATAATTTATAAAGACGTTACTAATAATTAAATTTATGGAAGACGTTACTATCTTTAAAAATGCATTAATTATGTTTGCAGGATGACATAAGTAGACATTTAATCACTGTTAAGTGTAATGCAAATATATATTCGAAGAATATAAAATATACATTAACGATCAACTAATGTTATTATTTATTCTTTCCATGCACTTTTTTATGAAGTTAATTCGCGCTTTAATCCGCTGCTATGCAATTGTTTGATCAATACTGGAATATTAGATAGTTCAAGACAGTTGTGAATATGACAGTTGATTCTTCATAATTACAGCGTATAATACACAGCAATTAAATACAGTGCAGATTATGGCGAGAAGAAACATGAAACGTCGTAAGATACATATCTTATAAGTTTAACGATTAATCGAAAATTGACAATTTTTTTGATTAGTGGACCATGTTTACACTGTGTGCAGTGTAAATAACTATTTCAGATTATCAAAAGCTTTGAAGACCAATCTCTTTGTAAGTATTTCTCGATTAATGGAGCACAACAATGATTTAAAACATTGAAAACACAGCGTATGAATTGTATTTCTTAAATTATTCAATTTATTAACATTATTTTGCAAAAATATCAATATCCTGAATCTCCAAACAGCGAAGAATCTCAAGATTATAGAGACAACTTAAAATACAAGTTGTGCGATTATTCTTTAAATCTTGGGTAAGTATTTATCGTTTTTGTTCTCTTATCAAATTCTGTACATTAAAATATTCATTTTGATACTTTGAAATTCTAACATTTACCTTCAATTTTATTAAATTTACAGAAAAATGGCTGTACGAAGCGAGGCAGTTGGAGTCACGGGCGAAAGTATGTACAAACGTTTTCGGAGACCGATGATACCATTTGCAGCGCCAAAGATACAAACTGCAGACTGCAGCAGTCCACGCTACTTAGAACACAAGATACTAAGTGGAATTTTGCAAAGCACACGAAGACAATGTTACACCGCATCGCCTAAGTTGGAACAGCTGAGAAACGCGGAAACGCAAACAGATTACAGAGAAAGCGAGACGCAAACCGAGCCTTGGGAACCGCCATACAAAGTTATTCCAGGTACATTATATTTTATATAAAATTCAAAAACTCAGAATTGTAGTGGGAGAAGAGAAATAAATGAAGAAAAATAAAACTCGAGATGACGGAACGAGAACTTGTAGAAAAATCACAACTTCTGTTCAGGTCACAATCCTGAAATATTGACGTTGGCCAATTTAACTTGGAAACATGGATTACCCGCGGGTATCCACGAGGTGCATATTATCAACAGGATGCGGATGAAAAGAGCTTGGGAGGCTATTGCCCCGCCGATGGATACTCCAGCGAATATAAAGATGCGGAGCTCGATAATAACTGCCTTGGAAGTTGAAGAATGGGCGTTCCGGGAGTCAGTGAGTGACGAATCTCGATTAGATCGTCTATCATTTTATATTTCTTTGTTACGTAACTGTGTAATAAACATTAGGAGATCCAATTTATAATGGATTTGCGATTAAATCTGATGAGGAACCTTTTACAAGACCGCGAGTCGAAGTATGAGACGAAAGTGCGAGGCCGTTTCAATAGACTCCAGGATAAATTGGGGAAACGTCGGAACGACCAAGTCGACACTATCAGGCAGAATCTTAAACGAAATCTGCGGAAATTAAACAAACTGCATCGCGACAAGCAAGAGCCTCGCAAATCCGACATAATCGAGCGGCTTACTGATCCCAAGTCCGACTTGTATGCGCCGCAGATGCGTCTTGGCGAGCATTCTGAAAGACGGCACGAAACATTACGGAAGCGATTTCTAAGTGAGAGCTACATCGATCGTGAGTATAATCAGTTCCAATTCAACATTAACATTTCGTGTAATTATTACTATTCAATTTCTCGCAATTGTTGCTTAGAAGAAGAAGATACGACGCTCAGCTGGTTGCCGACCATCGAGGAACCGAAAGCGATCAAGTCTAAACCTATAGACATTTGTATACGAGAAACGAGATGGACGGAGGAGAAACTGGAACAGCTCCATTCCGACCTGAAGGCCATTCGGATGAACGTCAAATCCGTAGATGTGATTCCAAGATTGATGAAGCGTAAATACAAACAGTCGCCTTTGCCCGTTACACCACGCAGATCGGGCGTATGGGACAGTAAACAGAAACAGCGGGAGGAGTCTGCTACATTTATTCAGAAATTTGTTAGAGGCAGAGCGATACAATGTCTGGTAAAAATTGTCAATGATTCATCGTGTGACATTCATTTAAAAACAGAGATTTTTCTAATAAAGATCTTACAGATGCACGAAGACCGCGATAGATGCAAGGATTTTATCAGAGAATTACAATCGACTCATGCGCGCGATCAGGAGAGTCAAGAGAAGCATCAAGAAGAAAGGATGTATATCGAATTGCAACGACTACGAAACGAGCAGTCGATTCAAGGAGATCGTTTGCGCGAAATTCTCAATTCTTTGGAAGGAAAGACAGTCTGTGGAACATTAGATTTCCTGAGTAAGGTAAGCTTCGTAAAATTTTTTGTTAGAACAGTTTGCTCCCTTCTCTTTCTTATCATTTCCAGAAGCTGATGAGATTAGAGGACGAACGTAGAGCCCATGCCTTTGCCTTACTTACCGAAAGAGAAAAATGTATGCAGGAAGCTGCTGAAACTGATACACAACAACAAGAAAGTTGTAGACGAGAAGAATTTGACAAAATATTCAAACAAGTTGCGAAAATAAATCAGGATTCGGTAGAAGCTTACTTGGAGGACGTTATAAGTGAAGGAATTGATTGGATATCCGATAAAACAGCTGAAGAACATGTTTTAGAACTTTGCGATAAGGCGGATGTCATAGCTAAATATTCCTTAGACAAGTAAGATATGCATTGATCACTAATAGATACAAACAAATATCGTTGAAACAATTTATAAAAAAACGGTGATACTTTCGCAGTGCGAATAAATTGACAGAGGAGGAATTGGTAGCGGATATGATTTATAATTTTATTTTACCTGAAGTGGAAAAGCATAACATAAGAAGACAAATTCACGATGAACAACAAAATTGTATGCAGAATGAGAAAATTTCAGACTTGTCATCTTCTGAACCATCACTAATTATGGATCAAGAAATTTGTATAAAAAATAAGGATGTACGAGCAATTAGCGTGGTTAATACAGTAAGAATCGATAATTTGCTCATATAGTGCAATTTCTTTTTTATGTAAAAACATTTATTTTCTTTTTAGGAACTAAATATTGAGAATGAAGAAATAAAATTTCTAATCCACAAAACAGATACTGAAGATAAAAAGCAAGAAGATTTAGAAACGGATTTAAAGAGCAATTTTTTAATTGAAGATGAATAAAAATTTGTATCGGAAATTAAGAAGACTATACAATAAAGGCTTTTTGAAGTTCTTAGCTCTTTTCCGATATTAAAAATTAATTATTGGTTGTAATTGTATTGCAGAAATTGACCGTAGTATATTAAATTTTATCAATATAATTGAATTCATGAGTTATGAGAATCCAAACTAATATAAATATATTTAATATTTTAATTTCATCAATATAACATATTCTTATTGCTCCTTTTTAAATCTGGAGATTCGATCAAATCAGTGAAATTATTATTAATACTTTTTTTAATAACAACCATATTTTACTGTGATATCTATTTTGTTGTCTTTACCTTTAATTTCTCAATATATGTACAACGAAATAGTTTTATTTTATATAGCATTTATTTTATATATTTTTTAATATATGATTATATATGAGATACGAGTCTTAAAGCTAAAAAACGCTATATAAACCCAGTTGAATATGTTATTTGTATATTATGTCGATCTCCTAATAATTTAATTAAGATTATGCCCTTGCCTCAAGTTTCTTAGAGACTATTATCTTAAAAAAAGAATCTACGAGTCAAAGTTTCTATATTTATCTTGGTTATAATAAGAGTTGAAAAGATGTATGAAGGGAATAATAATATTGCAAAAGCTCTTGTACTGAAAGTATTAATATAAAAAAGCCAAGTTAGCGCGAACACGATGGGTAATTGTCGACGGAGCAATTTTCGATAAGATAACTATCTAATTGCGAGTAATCTTTCGCAAGTAAATCTGATATAAATTTTTTAAATTTCATATCCTGCGCGTCGATCGATGACTTCCTTTCTACTATGAGTTTGCGCTTCTTGGCTTGTAATTTATTTGTCTGTTGAATTGTTTCAGCATTAATTTGTGCTTTTCGCGTTTCGGCATTGATCTGTACTTTTCGTGGCTCGGCATTAATCTGTGTTTTTCGCTTACGATTTTCTAACGAGTCGGAATTCTGAGTTTCCTCTCGTGCCCGACTCAACTCAGTAGTTAAATCGACCATCTTTTGTTCCCATTCTTCGAGATGCTTCCGCATTTCAGCCAACTGCATATCTTGATCATGTATCTTTCTGGCTTGCTTCTGTAACTTTAAAGTTTGCATCCGTATCCGACAGTCTTGTCTCTGTACCCTGAGCTTCATTTGGCTCATTTGGTTTCTTACAGTCAAGAAGAATACCTTGTTTCTTTTTGTACGGTTATTAATCTTTTTAAATGTCTGACTGAGTTTTTCCGAACAAGTTAAACCATGGTTGTTGTAATGTGGCAGTGTTGGGTTATTTATATTTCTACTATGAGAGATCATAACGCCACCAGGAAGATCGTACGAGTTCACAGTGCCAACCATAGATGTACAAATATTGTGCTTTAAATCTGGCAGAATTTTCTCGTCAAAATGTTCCATTGCCATGCTGCTTATATCTCGCAACTCTTGAAGTATCTCGTGCGCTCTAGGTGGTGTCTTTGTCTCTCGAATTAATCGAAGCACTCGGAAAATTTCATCAATTACCTGATAATCAAATATTTTTATTTACCATTAAATATTTTTAATTATTTTTTGTACTAATGATAATTGCAATGCCTACAATATAAAAATTACCTTTCCTGGAATAAAGCAACAAACATTTAGATCCACATATTTGATAAAAGTCATTGATAGCATAGAAATTCTCGTTTCTATTGCTGTCAATATATCACAATGACGTGCAAGAGGATGACTTCTCCGCTCAGATTCCCGTCTCGGTAACTTGCTTTTAACAGCACGAAGGCATTGGGCATGATACTTTTCCATAAGATTAAAGCCACGGTTCAGTAACTTTCTGCAGATCCGATCAAATTGTCTACAAACCTGTTTCAAAGTAGAAATATTCTTAGATTTGCTTCATAGATAATGTAACCAAAGGAGAATTTTCTTCTAGAAAATATTAAAAGATGATCTTACAATCCTATATTTAGAAATTTCATCGTAAGAAAGATTCGAAAGGATCGCCTCCAGACAAACATCAGGAAGATTTATCAGTTGCAACTGCATATTATCGTCCGATTGTTGAGCGGCTGAATCGAACGAATATCTCAATTGCTCATAATTATCAACCATATCGATTGGCGTACCCTTCCATTCCATTCTGTACAATGTGAAAGATCCACTTCTTGGCACGAAATTACACTACTTCGCAATGTTTTTACTAACTGAACGACCTATAAACAAATATAACACGACCTTCGATGATCCCCAGCAGCGCTGCGATCAGCTGCGACAGAAAGAAGTCTGAGATGGGCCATACCGTCATTTGTCATACGACGCTTTTTCTAGGCCGAACAGTAGCGCTATCTGGATCCATTTTAGAGCCGACGGAACTACATGGCCAGTTCCAAGATCTATAGAGAGAAGGTTACCTCAGGCAAAACCGGTTGTGGGCAAGGGACGATGAAGTAAGGGGGAGCTAGAAATAGCTTGTTGGCGAGGGGCGACGAAGGAAGGGGAGAGCATGATGATCTCATCGGCTAACAGTAGCTGTCTCTCTCGCACGCTTTAGTGTTTTCTCTCTCGCTCCTTTAATATAGAAATGCTTTGAGTTTTTATCGAAAAATACTTTTATTTTGTAAAATATTGATAGCACTGGAAATTGCGTAATAACAATTGAAAAGTAAATTAGAAAGGCGCTATAAATTACATATATTGCAAATTATAGCGCTAGATATTTAACGTTTATAATGTTAAATATCGCTGCAACAGATGCATTTGTGATACAAATTGTTTTGTACTCGTATTTAGACTGTAATATCAATGAAAATAAAATATAATTTGGGGATATACACAAAAAACATCATTTGTAAAGTAGTAAAATAAAAGAAAAAATAGTACATATTTACGTAATAACTTCGTAAAATAATATTTACTGTTTATATGCATTATTTACAAAAAAATAATATAAAGAAATTTATTTTTATATTTAATTGTGAAAACCTCAAAAATTGTCAAGAAATTGTAACTGAAATTCAAATGTAAGTACAATTCTAGGATAATATAAAAAAGCATCATACAGAAATTTATTATTGATACAAACTTAAATAATAGAAATTGTAATATAATGTTTCAACATTGCAAATGTGAATATTTATATGATAAAATTTACAAAATGTTAACAATTTCAAATATTTGCTAATAAAATATTATTGAAATGTTTCTGTTGAAATCTTAAAATAATTCTTTAAAACAAATATGATGGGGTATATATTAGGGATCATTAAATATGCGGCAACATTGTGATTATAAAATTTTATAAGTATCTATAATAAAAATTAAGTATAATAAATATAATAAGTATATAAGTATAATAATAAAATTTTATAAGTATCTATAATAATAAAATACATATATGTTGTATTAATCTGTTAATATAAA